TGACAAGTATTTTTTATTTTTATAATTTTGATTGTGACTTTGACATTGATTTCACGCCAACGAAGTTGTTGCCAGGCTTATGAGAGAAGTGCGACAAAGAAATATGCTAGAAGGAAACAGAGACCGGAAGTAACAAGTCACCGCTGTTTCCGTCGCGTGATACGTAAATTCGTAGATTGATAATTGCGTGAGTTCGCAGATAAATTAGATTTTTCATGTAATAATTTCTTAAATTTTTAACTTTTCTCTTTTTTCTCAATTTATGACGTAACAGTCTTATTCTTAATTGTATTTTTATTTTATAAACCTTCTTGTTTTTTATTTAACGGGATTAAATGTTATTGTTGTTATCACAGACAACTGCAGATAACGAACAAAATTGCAGAAGAAACAAGTAAAATGAAAAAAAAATCTATGCTATGTATCTTTTGAATTTAAAAAGAGGAAACTGCTAAATCGAGTCTACGAAATTTCAATTGTATTCAGTATAAGTACTGTCGCATTTTCGCTATATTTATATCATGACGACGTGCAATTCCGACGTCGTTGTCGATAGCTTCGTTCCCGGTTTCAGCTTCGTTGGCATTCAATAGCAGCCGCTGTTGTCAGCGCGCGGATTGTTGGTGTGGTTTAACAAAGGAAACGACACGTTTTCACGCTAACAATTGGAAACTGCGCGGTGCCGTCTCTCGCCGATACACTCATATTTGTTAAGCGATGCTCTTTGTGCACTTTACGTGGAAGTGGTTCTCGTACTTAATAACACGTGCGATATCGCCCGTGTTCCGCTATCTTCCAGGAAGTTAAATCGATTACGTTACGAGCAGGTGTTCGTACACCTTGCACAGACACCTTTTACATCATTATTATATATAGAGAAGTGTATGTACCGTTCGTTACATATTAATCAACGAAAAATTTAAAAAAAAATTTTAAAACGAATTCAAACGAAATTATTTTCTATGTTTCGCGTTATTAAATGTTTATACATACGTATGTACATATTTTAAAAGAAAAAGAAAACACGATCACTTATTCGGGATGTACTTCAGATTATAACACATTTTAATTGTTTACACATTGACACTTTTTTAACAGTTCGATACTTCAAATTCTTTAAGAAATTTTAAGTAATAAAATTATGGTATATTGCACATCCATATAAAATACAATATATACCTAAATATTGATAGTCAGAATCAATAAAATATACTTAGCTGTATCGTTAGAAGAATTAGAAACTTGTAAATGGTATAATTAGAGTTATGAACCTTGATTTTTTTTAAGCTGTATTGTTGAGCGAAGGAGATTGAGGTTATACAATTATATTTGTTTTACAGATCAAGAAATATAAGTCATGTCGAGTCCGTCATTGAAAGACCTGCCCAAAGTAGCTCTAGACTTGAAAAGCGAATTGGAAGGTTTCAATCATGGCTGCATGAAGAAAGCCGCTACTGCCGAGAAGAACGTTTTACCTTCCGCCGAAGGTACGTGAATATCCAACCATATATTTCAGAAACTTTACTAGAAATTAATTTATGTGAATCAAATTATTTCATTTATGTTTATAACTTATTTAAAATTTAATATTTTTATATTTTTGCATTCTATTAATTTCACTATTAATATATTTGATTAATTGATGATGTACGATTAATGTTATGTATTTTTGATTTTTTTTTTCTTTATTCTAATTTAAGTATTTTAGTACATAAGTATTAAAATTTTATATTTATATGCTATGCAAGTAAGATTTAATATTACATATGAGGTGTAACGAAAATAAAGAAAATATTGAGTTTACTCGTGTAAATTATTAAACCAAGAAAAATGATTTGAGCGCAAAACTTACCAGTGTGATACTCTGATAAAAACGATAACTGCAATAAAAATATGTGAATTGCTGACGTAGACGTGCGACAGGAGAGACAACATTCTGAGTTGATACATGGCGTGGAAACCTTTAAGACAGATCAATTGAAGCACGCAGACACGAAAGAGAAGATTGTGTTGCCTAACGCCAAAGGTATTGCTCATTAAAGACTGGAGGGATTTCTGGAATTTCATTCTCCAGTCCTACGAGGAGTACTTCCTTGGGTTTTTTCATGGTGGCAGCAGAAAGTCAACTATCGCTTTTGCTTCTCAGGAAACAATCTTTCGCCTGCAAAGCTTTCTCTTAGAATAATTCAAATAAATAAAATTACGAATTTGAAAATTTTACTGGTGGCTTTGATGGCATTCTGAGATCACATTGCTTGTCTTTTTCGTTAATTTCTTGCTACATTATTTTACATAAAATTTAAAAGAATTTTAAAAAATACTCTTATACAATATTTATGCAGGTCCTAAATTCGCTTACTCTTATATGGATTCCTCGATGCAATCTGAAATCCATAATTTCTCAATCGAAAAGTCGAGTTATAAATTATTCAAAATACAAGACTTCTCACGACTTAAATATATCTAATGTGGATTAAAGTAATGGAATCATAGAACTTGATGGAATCATAGAAACTTAAACTAAAATCAGGTATTATAATATTCTAGGATATTTTATTATACGTAGCAAGAAGTTAATCTGATGTACAGGAGGATAAATCCAAAATGTAATTTATTAATAAATCGTACATTAACTTTGAAGTCAAAAATTAATACGGACACTAGTTTTTCACGATTTTAATTTGAGTTCAAATGTAATACGTAATTTCGATTCATAAAAATGCGCAGAGCATCTGAACACGCGCGGTATTAATACCACGTACTTTATGAAGGAAGGACGACAAACGGTACCAATCATTGACTTATCAGGCTGTTTATCGATCGCACAAACAGTTTTTGAATTTATTCTTCACTAATCCATTCGAGTTACGTCGCTAGCTGGATATAGCAAATCTATAGTCAATTAAGCGAGACACTTTATTTCCGATTTGCGATTTTGCTTGCATAAAATTATCTATCATTTCGTCCCTGAAATATGATTTATCTGTTTTTAGACGTCGCAGCGGAAAAGACCCAGCAAACGTTGATTGCCGGTATCGAAAAGTTTGACACCGCAAGTCTGAAGCACACCGAGACGCAGGAGAAGAACCCGTTACCCGATAAAGATGGTATGATATATAAGTCAGGCTTTCAAATTAAACTTATATACAGAATAATTCAACTTCGTCAAAATCACTAGATGAATTAAAAGCGAAATTTATCTTACGAAATTGTAAATTTTTTATTTTTAAAGATTGATTTTTAATCATGGGCAATCATTTCATTTCGTTCTATTTTTGTTATTGATAAAGTTATGTCATACAATAGTAAATGAAATAATAATTTCTTTACAAGTAATATAATTATTTTATATGAAATGATTATTATAAATTCTGAGATTTTTTTGTTGATTTCCTATGCAGCGATTCAGCAAGAAAAGGGGAAGCAACAATTAATTTCCGGTATCGAAAATTTTGATCCAGCGAAATTGAAACATGCGGAAACCCTCGAGAAAAATCCTCTGCCCACCAAAGAAGGTTCATACATTGCACATTCTTAATTTATGTCCTTGTATCTATTTAAAATGGCATGTGGTTTACATGAGGCAACATTGTTTTAGCGATCGATGCCGAAAAGATAGCTGCTTAAAAAAGCTGCCACACGAAAACGAAGAAAAGGAATGAGGACGGCACGACTCGTCGCTTCTTCCAATTTCTATATCCGTGACATTTTATAACAATTATTCATACATTGCCAAGGAAAAAAAGCGCGAATGCGAAGCACTATATTAGTCGTAATGCTATGATTATACTTATACTATCGCCATTTTTCGGCGTTCTTCTTTTGGCGAGATCAGACAACTTTTGATTGAAAACGTGTAACGTTTAAATCACGTAGCCGATGACGATACCGCTGTTGCTTGTCCTATTTTGATACCAAGCCACCTCAAAAGACAATTCGACAACGATTAGGCAATGACAAGAATGAGAGCAAACCTACATACAGCTCTTGTCTCGTAAGTTTCTCTAACTTGCCTTCTCGTTACATCTACTCGTTGTTTTGTTGCTAAACGCGCGACAAATAATACATTGTCCGAATAGCCGGATACGGCTACTTAGAGAGAGAAAGACTTATGGCAAGAAAAAGATTAGTAAATGTAGCGAGTTAGAAATTCGTTTTTTACGAAACAGGGACGATGATCCAATTCGATAGATCGCGAAACGTTGCACGGAATCGTCATCTCCTCGCCGGAGGATGTAGTTTTTTTATATCGAAAGAGCTGCACGCGCGAATATATTCATTATTTTCGATAAAGCAAAATTGTCGGTGATATTGTATTTGATGCGTTACAGCAGACATTGCGAAAGTACACAGTGGTCGATTATATTTATGTATTGTAAAAATCATATTTTGTATAAACGGGCTATTGTACTTTTTTAATATTTCGTAAACATCGCATTTCGATGAAATTATTATGAGGAATAAAAAAAGTAATTTGTACAAAAGTGATGGTCTGCTTTTTTGGCCCTAATTAAACTTTATTAGCTTAAAACGAATTTATTTCCGTTTTTCATCCAAATGTGTAGGTAATAGTAATTATATTGAGTGTATAATTGCATTTAGCATTAAAATCTGATTATTTGCTTCTATTTTTATTATGTATAAACTTTATCTTAAAAATTAAAAGCTAGTATTAAATGCAGGATGCGACTATTATTAGAATTATAATAATAATTAGGATATCTTTTATAACAATTCAATCTAATATGTGATGATCTGCAAAAACTAACCATTAAATGAATTACAGTTAACTTAATATTTACAAAGTAATCAATGTCAATTAAATTAACTGTTTACATAATATATTTTGCAAAAGGGTTAAAAAGAATAATCGATTTTATTTCATTGGAGATTCATTTTCAGATCATCTTACAATATATACTGCATTTTTTAAAATTATAACAGAATAAATATATATATATTTATTCGTGGAGGATTAATATATTTATATTAACATATAATACACATGATAATTTTCCTTTATTTTTACTACATACGATGATTCGGATTTGTATGCCGGATTAATTTTTACAACTTTTACAAACATATAAAAATTATTGAGTAATTTTTACATTTATTAAGATAGATACTTAAAAAAGAAGAACGGATAGAGATTAATATTAAGTCTATTTGCGATGCTTAAAATCCCCCAAAATTTTTAAATTTAAAATTACACACACACACACACACACACACACACATATATATATATAATATATATATAATATATATTATTTGAACGTTGAAGAGAGAATACGAAGATTGAGTGCAAAAAGTGCAAGCAACCTATAAACAGATCTATTAGGTTAGGTATTCCTCATATTTCAAAGAAAAAAAATACGCTGAACCTGAATGATTCAACGATGTGAACTAATTAATGTAACTAAATGAATATTTGTACATTGGAATATTTGTAAACTACATACAATATTTAATAAACTACGTAGAACTAAATCGCAATCTTTAGAATGAGAGAAGAGTTAATTGAAATTCGGCTCCTATATATTTGCTAAGAAAACGGAAGTGAAAATACGATTTCGAAATTGCGGTTGATGCGTATTTAAGTCGACAAAGTGGCTAGGCTGCTCGCTGAACAATTAAGCATGATTGGTTGAATCCATAAGTAAGAACCAATCATTCATTCGCTCAAGCATGCCTAGCCGCTTTGCTGTCTTGAATTCGCCCAATGTCGGCCAATCGTATCGCAATCTTTTAGCCACATCATTCGGAAGAATCTTTGCCATTTTAATCATTTTTGATCCAAGTTGTCGATTTCCGTTAGATCAGCGGGAATATTGTCTGAATTCGACGTTATCTATCGTTGCGTGGAATGGAATCGTCATACCAATGAAGAGATAAAACGTAAGTATCTTTATCAATTTACGATGATTTCGCTCGGCTCACTTTAATCGCAGTATCTTGAGCATCGCATGCGAATTTTGCTGTAAGTGGAATCTGATTAATGTAAACATCAATCACTTCCGATACGCGCGCGATACGTGCACGTGCGCAACAAGTAGCGAATTGGATTGGTGACAAAATTACGTTGTTGAGGGGGAAGGGAGAGGTAAAGGGGAGAAGGGAATACCAAGGAAGAAGGCAAGGATCAAGTCAAAGTGCGGTACATCACGCATGTTGTGTTTGAAATATCGTTCTGCTTTTGCCGGGAATAGGTGAAAGAGAAGAAATAAGGGAATAGGTAAGAGAAAAGATATAAGGTTAGCACATTTTTCCTCTTTTCCTATGGGTTTTTCACGCGAGAACTTTCTTTCGACTATCGCAAGAAAGTTCAGAGATTTTCACGCCCTCTCCTCCCCCCAGGATCGATGACTTCTCCTTTTTTCTTCGTTACTTTAGATCTTTTCTTTCTTGCATATTTTTCCGTTTGATATTGAATTTCGTAGGACCAAAGGTTGAAGAAAATTGACTGATTTTCTCGTGAAGTGTTTTGTTCGATTATTGGTTCGAATTTATTTATGATCGCGTCTTCCATCATTGTTCTCGTTAAGGCATCGTTTCTTTGTCCCTTTGTCACAGCGCGATAACACGTGAGATTTTTTCGATAAGCTGAGATATCTGTATCTTATGTGTCTCGTAGGAATTCTTTTGAATTCTCTCGAAAAGAATACTCTTTTGTTTCTTTTTCATTGTTTTTATTCGCATTAGTCAGTGTTTTAATACATGAAATTCACCTTTTTATAATTTCGTCGAAATTTAGCACGTGTTTTGCAGTACGATTTTTTTTGCAGTATACGATTTAATCTGTGATCATCCTTTTATTTGTGCACATTTGTTCATGAACTTATCTAATCTTCTCTGTTTTAATTATCTGATGGATTTTTTATGGATCGATAGACTATATTAGTTAATGTTCTTAAATACTGTCAATATTATTTTATTAATTAATTAACATTAATAATTAACATTAATAATTAACAATAATTAATTCAAAGTTTATCATTAAAGATATAAGTAGGCGAATTTGGTTAGAATCGTATTCAAGTTATGTATATTTATTAGTGTATTTGTTGTAATTCGTTTTTTTTTTATAGTTTATATCGTTATTCTTTTTAGAAAATAAAAAATAGCTGCTTAAATTGGGATATCCTGTGGATAAAGCATATCAAAGAAAAAGAATATTTTCTATATATTATTATCTATATAATATTGCAAAAGAATAGAAACAGGTAATATGGAGACAATTTTCTAAAAAAATAAGATACTTTGTGGTTGGATGTATATATCTACAGCAATATATTGATTAATAATGTCAATTAGAGAGATGTCAAAACGGACACAGGAGCCAGTGGATCAATGGTTGGCAAAGGAGGGTTATTTCAGGAAACCTACTCCCAGAGACCCAACCTGTTTGTTTAGAGCAATTAGTGAACAAGTGTATCATACGCAGCATTATCATCTACGAGTAAGAAGAGAATGCATAGAATTTATGAAGAAGAAGAGACACTTGTTCATTGATGTAAGTATTTCTACGCGATTATCTAATAGTTTCATATCAAGACATGCTCGGTACGTCGGTTTTCTGTATTTTTTTTTTGTAGTCTGTATCAACGCCATTTGATTATTATCTGAATGAAATGCAATGTTTTACGGAGTGGGGAGGCTCAAGTGAAATTCATGCCATGTCTTTGTTATATAAAAGAGACATAATCATATTCGTTGGAGAGAAGCAGATATGCGAAAACGTTACCAATAACGGCTTTAAAAAAGGCGTTATATTACTTTGTCACACAGAACCGAAACAATATGAGCCTGTTTACCCGATGGCTTTTGTACAATCAGCTGCATATTGCCAATGTACGTAGATATTTCTTAATTCCATTTTTACAATATACAATTACTTAAAGATTAAAGATTACCAAAAAATTCACAAATGAATTTTATTGATGAATCTCTCGGCAACCTTTATTTTTAATAACAAGTAATCATATTATGAAAACAGAGTTTCAGGGCCAAATAGTCCTTTCACCAAGCTCCGATTAACTTAACAGGCCTAGTAACTTTGCAGGATTCCAACTGAAGCTGATATCGAAGAAAAAAATGCAAAGAGAGAAGTTATAAATATAGATTTGTAATACTAACTTGTGCAGCAAGGTTTCTCTCTGATAGCTATTTTTTAATAATCTATTTTTGTGTTCAATGTAATATGTAAAATTACAGTTAATTATAATTAGTGAAATATGTTTAACTCCTCAGTTCACATTTTTTCTCTGACAACAGTTTCAGTTGGAATCCTGCAAAGTTACTAGGCCCGTTAAGTTAATCGGAGCTTAGTAAAAGTGGCCTTTATTGATACATATCACAGATAGATATGTTCCAAAATTGACTGCCAGTACTGAAAATCTATAATGCACGTAAATTGTAGAATTTTCAGTGCGGGCAGCATTCTTTATAAATTTTTTGTAATTTTTTCTTTTTTGTTGATAGCTATTGTTTATGAAGTTGTATATAGGTATATGTATCAAATACCTAATATAAAAACTGTTGCGGATAGAATGCTACATAACCGAGCTCCTGCACTTAGACATGACAGATTTTTCCAGAAGGGAAATCTTGATATTAGAGAGTAAGAGAGAGTTATTTAATCAGATCTCGATGTATATTGCGTTTATAAATTATGATTTAAACATTAAGTTTTTAAATTATATTTAAAAATGTAGATTGTTTTTAAAAAGTGAGATATATTTCTGCAGGCAATTGATTGAAGATTTATACAAAAAAGTAAAAAATGAACATAGTGACACGGATGAAGCGCAATCTGACTGGAAAGGAGCACCTATTCCTTATAAAGTCGCAAAAGCGTTAGCTCCTGATTATTATCGTAATATAGAGTTAGATATATGGCACGAATTGAAACGAGGTGTGATATAGAAATTTTATTTTTATTTTCTTTTTTGAAGGCAAAAGTGAAATATTTAAAACTAAAATTATTTGTATGTACAGAAGTAAAATCTGCAGGCTGGAACAGATATAACAGTAATGAGCTTCAAGTTGGTGGCAAATGTCTGATAGAAATTAGCATAAATGATTTACAACAGTGTGACAGAAATAACAACAAGAATGTACGAGTTAATTTGCCAGAATGTAGTACTAGCGAGACTAACAATAAAATTGAGCAACAAAAATTGAAGCAAGGTCCTCTTTGGCTTCACGGTTATATACAGGAAATGAATACAGAGAAAGAGCCAGTTCTGGTTTTTATTAAAGACTTAGGAGAAAAAAAATTTGTTCCATACGATGCTTTGAAGCCATTACCTTTAGTAAGAAAAAATAGGCCAAAAAATTGGGTACCAATTAATAGAAATCATTCAGTTACTATAGATTCAAGTTAGTTTATTAAATTATTAAATCATTATTGTCATTTATACATATTTATATGTAACAAATCTTTATTTTGTATTTAATTAGATCGCCGATGGAAAAAACCATATAATTCTTTCTCGCGAAAGAGAAAAGATACCATAATCATAACAAATGAAAAGCCAAATAATACAAATAAAAATGTATTAATAAATAACAGTAATGATGATAATGACATTGATGCTACCAATGTTGTTAAAAGTGACTTTGATGAATATCATGGCGAACTTCAGTATGTATCTTAGAATATATTAGCTGCATTCTATCGTATAAAAGATAGTATTGTTTCGTATTTTTTTAATAAACTGGATTCTTTAAAAATGTAATTTTATTTTTAGTAAAATAAATCAAAGCCAAACATTAAAAAATCATTCTGTAGAAGATAATTCTATTTATACGACAAATGTAAGTATATTGTAAAATTTTAACATTGTACTTGAAATTCTTAAAGTATAAAAACGCACATTTTTTGTTTATAGGAAGAGGCTAACAATTTACCTATGACAACTATATTCGACAATTCACAGTCTATAGGGTCAAATAGTGTAACACAAGAAATAACGGAAGAACATAAAAAACCTGTAGTATTTAAGAAGGTGAATAATACTGCAAGGAAGATTGAAAAATCCCTTAATCTTCAAAAATCAAATTCGAAACCAAAAGTATTAAATGAGAATTATTCTTCACCTTACAATGGTAATTATTTCTAAATAAATAACATATTCTGTCATATATATTAACTTAAAACATTATGTCCTCCGAGGATAATTTTACTCGAAATGTATAGTACCTAACAAATGATAATCTTAATCTAATAACAATAATCTGATAATAATAATCTAATTTCCTGATATAAAAAATATGATTATAACAAATTTGACTATTGGGAATTAGCACTGTATTATGTGCGCGATAAATTTAAAATTATTAAATTGTATCTTATATATTTAATTCGTATACATGTTTCGGCTAACTTTTTAGCCATCTTTAGTACATACAGATGAATCCATGTAAGCATAAAAAGTATAAGGTTACAGTATCCATGTTTTTCATTATTTTAATATCCGCAATGTTTCCATGTGAGGTGGTCAATCATTTTCACTCTAAGAAATGGTGATTGACTACCTCACATGGAAACATTACGGATATTAAAATAATGAAAAACATGTGGATACTGAAGCCTTATACATCTTATGCTCATCGCTCACCTAATTATATGGATTCATCTGTATATATACTGAAGATGACTAAAATTTAATTACTAATTTGTATACATGTGGCTAAAAAGTTAGCCGAAACATGTATACAAATTAATAATTAAATATGTAAGATACAATTTAATAATTTATTGCGCACATAGTACAGCGTTAATTCCCAATAGCCAAATTTATTATAATTATATTTTTTATATAGTACCTATATATGTAACGTATACTACAATACATAGAATAAAATCTTCCTCAGAGAGGACGTTTTGGAATGCAGCCCTAATATATTTAATATCAATTTTAGCTGGCGCTAAAACAGCCTGTCAGATTGTATACACAAAAATTTCAGCAAATAAATTTCATACAAATTAAATTAATTTACTGAGATTAAATTAATTAGATATGCAAGTTTCAATTTTTCTTACAAATTTATCAGAATATGTACTGATCTATTTTGTTAATTGCAGATAACTCGCAAACAAATATATATAGCAATCCAAACGTATCTTACGTTCCTCCAGATAACGGCAATGCATATCCTTATTATCCATATATACCAGGAAATTTTTCGATAACTGGAGAACACAATCCTGGTCAAATAGATCGTATGTATTTATTAACATTCTAATATTAATATTATATCATGAAAAAAATGATTTATATCTTACATTTCTTTTAGATCCATTGACATCGAATGTGTTTTACAATTTACATCTGTTGCATTTGGAGGTATGTAGTAGATGGAAAAGTAATTATAATTAATTAATTTATCATCAATTGTTAAATTATATATAATTATATAATTCTTTGTATACAGGACACTTTCCGTACTTTAAATCCAACTTATTACGGACCGATAATGTATGGACCGAATCATCAAAGCATGCAATCTTTGAGTACACCATCAAATGCTATAAACAGTAATTTATCATTAAATATTCCTACAAAATTCATAATAAAAAAATCATTGATGAAACTTGGAATAAAAACTTGTATACAATTTTTAAATAGATGGTCCCTGCATGCAATATATGCGGGAGGAAGTAGATCGCCTTGTTAACGACATGCAAAATAGTTCATTGAATGAGGGATCAAATGCCAGTGCTGAGATTCCCAATGCTTCGCATGTGAACATGAATAATATGCAAAGTACAAATCAGTCGAAGCAAGGATCAAGAAATTTGAGCGGGAAAGACTCCTCACATCCCATTCAACAGAAAGGAAAGCAAACTGGAACTATTAAAGGTAATAACAGTAAAGTTAAATACGTCAATACTATAGAAGAAATTTACAGCATATAAAATAACATTATATTAAAATCAAAGAAATACTCACTTTTGTTCATCTGTTACAACACGAAATAGAGTTCAAAAATAAAAAAAAAGGAGAAACTAAGATATCCAGACATGCAATCTCTGGATGCCCCATCAAATGCTCATATGAACAGTAATTTAATAATAAAAATTCATATAAAAGATTAATAATGAAATTTGAAACAGTCTTATACAATTTTTTAATAGATATTCCGTATATGCAATATATTCAAGAGGAAGTATATCGTCTTATTAATGACATGCAAAATTCATTAACGTACAATGAGGCACCTGTGATAAGATTCCCGACGCTTTGCACATGAACATGAATTGTGTGCAAAAAGCAAAGCAAACTTGAAATCGAAATGTTACATCTAGAGAAAAGAGAGGCAAGAATAAATTTAGAACAAGAGATAGTAAAAAACAATATTAAAATAATTATATTAGTAATTAATAATATAAATTAAATAAGCAAATGAAACAATAAACGCTTAAAATTTTAATAATTAAGATATAATTATAACTTACTAGAAAAGGTCCAAACTCAGCTAGATTCAAACAAAGAATAAGAACAGTAAAAGAGACTTATTATAATAGCATGTATAAATATCAACAGTGTATCTTCAACCTAAAAAAAAACTGTTGATTGTTAATATATTTATTTATATTTTGACATTACCGTTAACCTTTAAGTAAACAAGAGTAAGCAAGTCTAAAGATTTTTCGTGGGCAAGTTGAGATACTTACAATATCCCAAAAAGTTTTTTAATATTTTTTATTAATTTGTTATGTTAATTTATATTAGCTATATTCTTATGAGAGAAAAATGTAAAAATAATGATGATTTCTTTTAAGATTTTTAAGCATCTTGGCAATATTTTATTTTCCTTTTTTCAGAACAAGATTTTTTAAGAAAACTATGCCTGAGATATTATATAGCTATCTATTTAAAGATTAATGTTTGATGATTATTATCCTTTGTGATAGGAGATACATTGCATATTATTATTAGTTGTTTTCGAATCAGTGTTTCTGAGATTGTATTATATGTTATTTATTATTGTATATATGTGATTTTATTTTTATATTTGAATTTGTTTTAATTTATTATTTATTGTGTTAATTTTAATTATCTGCATTTGTTTGTTTCATTATTTTTTTTATTAATTATCAATTTAATTTATGTAATAATCTGCTCAGTCTTCTATTTTTGTCTATTGTTTTGAATTTGTCACTCTCTTGGATCTTTTCTAGACAGATTATTGCGATTTTAACTAAGAACAATTTTTTGTTTTTTATTGGATTATATTTTATGTTTTAAAAGTGAATGAATACATACTATGAGTGAATACATTAAATTGCACTAAAAAATTGCACTTGACATTTTGATGAAATTGATCCTTAAGATTTCCAATCAATAATTTCTATTTTATAATATTTCACAATAATTATTTTATTAAACTAATTGCATACATCCTTTATACTTATGTATATATAAAATCATTGTAAATACAAATGGGATTGAAGGATAAATCAAAAAATATAAATATGAAAACTTAACTAATTATATATTTTCTCATTGTACGCTTGATTGTTCATTTCAGTTTTACAGAACTTCCTGTGAAACTTGTGAAAGAACAATACATTTTTTTATGTCTTTTCTTTTATAGGCAATAAGATACGAAATCGCCAGCAAAATGCTCGCGGATCATCACATATGCAATACTCGGGTCATCAATATGGCGCGACAATGCCGAGTGGTTCTGTGAATCCGTACAATGCGCGAAGGCACGATGTGCATATGCTGCAACCGCAGCAGCATCATTGGGATCCGATGTCGCATCAGATAGCACCTAGCGTGGTAGCCGGTCCGACAAATGGTTATGCACCATCGCAGTATACAACATCGAACCAAATAATTCCTTATCATGAACTTCCACCACACTACACGAACGAAAGCAATTCAGGGAATCCTTCATATTATCTGGGAAATGGTAGCTACATACCCGTATCGTACTTACCACCTCAGCACGTCGACGCAACTGAGAACGGAGCTGTACCTCCGTCGTATCCGCAACATTTCTATTCAACGACCGAGGCTTATCCGCCAGGTCATTCATCAATAAATGGCCAACCAATGATATACTCGCAGCCGGTCATGTATCCACAATCGGTGCAATATCATGCTGTACCATCACCATCGCAACACATGCAAGAGCAATGGAATCCGACTTTGGGACCGCAACCCTCCTATGTTACCCAATGCATTGCTCCAAATCCAGGTCTAGCTCCGATCATAGAACCATCCCCTAATGGTCAATGTACCGTTCCAAAAGGTTCACTTTAGATATATATATATTCTGAAAATTGATAATTAAGATTGAATCTCTATTACAGTAACTATTAAAAAGTCTTCATATAACATAATAGTATTATATAAAATAATATTAGTTATAACATATCAATTTTTCCCGTGAAAAAGTAAGATTCTGAAGACTGATGGTAATTATAAGATATGAAATACATCGTAATAAAAATTAAAAATAATGAATGGTAATTAAGATTAACTACATAGAAAATTTAGACACAAAACAGCTATATGGAGCAGAATATATTAACTATTTACAATTCTCGTTAAAAATCGACAAGATTGTTTGCTATGACTTACCAAAGTTTCCTACACCATGTATAAAGCTCCATATATTATACAAAGTAAAAAATGTTTAAGATACAGTTTTTATAAGTTGTATTTACAAACTAATTTAATATGCCACGTATACATGAGAAAGATATAATGCAACTAATCTATTGTATCAATGTTTAAAAAATTTAAACTGAGTACTTGAAACTTTTATAGGTATAGTTTAAAAGAAAGAAATATAAGACTAATTTCAATCAGTTTCAACATTATCTTTAATCGATAATGTAATTAATAAGTTTCTTCATTAAAAAGAAAAAAAATTATAGTGCCTTCAATAAACTATTGATAATAACTATTGATAATATAATGAGAACATTTCTATTCTATCTGTTCTTGCAGAAATATTCCATATTTAGCGATGTTTATCGGTATTTTGAATCATTGGAAAATATCATTATTAATTATAATTACTCCGTATTTCTTAAACACCGACAAATATCATAAATGAAACGAATATTATTTTCAATGGAGTGAATTGGATATCTATCTCTATTGAGATTATTATATCATTCTTTTTCACACATACAAATAACAAACTTAATTATTTCATAAAAAGTATCTAGGCTTAACTTAAATATTTAGAATATTTAAGAATCAATACATATATAACATAAGTTAAGATCTTGTAATTCATTAATATTATTAATGTAAGTTTACTGGAGTTCTTCAACATTTATACAATTTTTACTTAATATTAACCTTTATACAATTTTTGCTAAATCTTTTTCGAATAAATAATGCAGAAAAATCAATCAAATCTATTTTATTTATTGTGGTCTCAATTTTTAGATGGGGTAATTGTGTTTGCTTGTATTTTAAATAGGTCAGAACCTAAAAACATTTTTTAAAGGCTTGGGATCCAAATTATTGTCGAATATTACTAAATAAATCATGATTGAATTATACAAAGAATTCACATGTCTTTATGATTATGACTAATGAATAAATCGATGTGACGCGACATATGTAAACGCAAGCACGTTGATGTATTATTTGAATTTTCTAAGAGAATTTCAAGACTATCACATAATCTTCGGTTTGCTATGTGATAAAAGGAAGCTGTAGATTATCGAAGTTTTTTTAAAGCGCAATTGTCACGATAATTAATGCCTACTGGAACAGAAGCGCATATGGTAAAATGTAATGTATGAATATAAAATCTATATACATATATATCACTGATATGCGATATTGTATACATATTAGTGATGTATACAATATAAACAGTGTTACGTACTGTAAACTTTTTAAGTTACACATCATGAAGTATTAAAACAAAAAAGTTGGTATGGACAAACGTGATTCAGTGATTGATCGTCAACGAAACTGGATACTCTTATATATGCATATATATTTATAGAAATTCTAATATCGAACCGTACAATATTCTCCTCCATATAAGATACATGCGAAAAAAATTATCTCTACGGTACATTTTAAAAGCGGTAATAAACTCGCTATTACGGAGCTTGGTTTTGATTTTAATCGCCGGAATTCTACGCTCATATATTGTACAACGTGCTAACGCTAGAGGCACTCTATAAGAACTGAGATTTCACAAGGTAATCAAGAAAAGGTCCAGTGTGATACACGAAGCTTAATGTTAAACTATTTACACGTATATTACACTTGATCTTCACTATTTACAATCGAAAATCTCAGGTGGATATATCATTGATCTGATAAATGAAAAAGTAAAATGGAATGATAAGATCTATGTTCCTTCGTAACATACAGTTTCGATAAATCCTTCGGAAGTGCAACTTACAAGGAAATATTTATACTCTCGTGCTTGTTATACTTGATATATAGGCAAACCTATTTGGCATTAAAGGCCAATAAAATCCTTCGAGTTTCATCGCGTAATACATATTGTTAATTTTCATTGCAAGATCCCCGCATTTCTACGAGAATCCCTTTCTTCATTGCACACATTTACATACTGTATTAAATTCGCGTATTATTGGTGTCTCGGGTGTGTGCGATTTCCTCTAAATATAAGTGCATCAATTGTATAATCTATCTGTACATTCGCTACACAGTTCAAATACACAATAATATTAACATATTTAATATTGGACTAATAAAACCAGGGATGCTCTGAAAGATCTCGCAATAAAAAGTCGTAATGATTTCAAGCGAATGAAACAGTGAGAAATTGCAAATCTATAATTAAGAATCTTTCAATTATTTAAAGAAAAAAAAATATAACACGTGATCAGTTTGAAATGTTAGTCCGTCTGTCGATAAAAGGATTAGAAAATGAATTAAAAATTATTAGTAGACACTTATGCGAGGGAGGAAAACATAGATAATGCTGTAACGCGCGTTTCTCAGAAATTTTATTTTCGTTTAATTCATGAAAAAGAGAAATCATTTCACCATAGTTCTCATATATTCCACTTCATTCAGTCACTATTTATATACGATAAAGGTATTACAGTAATTTGCTATGTACGAATTAATCTTTAGCTACTTCCACATCAGATCTGAATCGTAGGCATTACACTATAGAACCCAGATGTCAGCTCTGATTTGAAAACAACTTCTCTCTATATAAGTCCATATTAAATATATTTTACAATAATATTATCATTGTACATGAACAACGTATGCTCTACACCTCGCGTTGCTTATCGCTAATTAACCAGCGCAATGACAAGATTTTTATATTACTCGACAAAAACAATAAAATTAAGATATAAATATAATATACATGCTACACAAAACACCATAAAAGAACGTTGTTAATTAAAGCTAAACAAAAATTAGTCTGGCTAGATTAGCCTTACAGAGTTTGATACTAGAAGGTAGCACTAGTAATAATGTGGAAGAGAACAACATGAAGATTCAAAAGATATAAAAACTATTTAAAGAGTTGAAAGGTTTCCAAGATTAAACTACATCGACAATTTGAATTAACGCTAGAGTAACGATTAGTTATTCTCTAGATTATAAATCTTTTAAGAATTATATAATATTCCAATCATATGTCAGATTGTAATCTTTTTCTACAAAAACATAGTATATAACATAGTATATAACATAGACAGAGAAAAAAAAGTGAATCTCACTTAACGCTAATTCATATTAGCGTAGATTCTACATTTTTGTTATGTTTTTCTGGAAAGTCACGTTATCATAAGGATAATGATAAAATAAAAACTGTATCCTAACAAAAAAATTTGCGCTGGTTGAAATAACGATCGACAAGAAGGTGTTAATTAGTTAAAATAGACGAGGGGGGACTGGATTTGTGTGACCCCAATATGTGCGCCGCCTTGGTACCTCCTATAGTAAAATAAATCTCATGTTAATATCGCTTAGACTGCTTATTGTATGTTAAACACAATTTCACATAATTTAAGATATAACACTATATTATATTTACGAATTCGTGGTCTCAAAGAAGATTGTGAAGATACTTACATAAAAGTAGTGGTAAAACAGGCGAAGGGAGGTTATTCCTTATTTTCCTCAGTAGTAACAGTGTTGGAGGGATTTTGGGACTCTGATGAGGATAAAGGCGGCGCTTCTGCTGCTGTGTCGGTTGCATCTTGACTCGAATCCGAGCTGTCCTTCATTTCCTCCTGCTTCTTTTCTTCACTGGGAGTGATACTTTTAGCTTCGTCCACCACATTCTCCGACTCCTCCGTTACTTTTTCGTCCTTGGAATTGGCATCCGTCACTTTCTCAACGTCTTTACTGTCTTTACTGTCCGCACCCTCCGCGTTTTTGTCTTCGTTCTGTATCGTCTTACTTTCCTCCTTCTCCTCTTTCTCTTCGTCTACTTCCATCTTTGTAGACTCCTCTTCTGTGTGTTTTTCGCTTTTGTTGTTGGATGTTTCATCGTCTGTGTTGTTCTCATTGTTCTTTTCCTGCCTCTTGGGTCGTCCACGTCCACGACCACCACCACCACCTCGCGTCGATGGTTCTCTCTTTTCCTTCTTGGGTGGCGATGGCACTGGCGTTGTCGAAGTTAGGCCTCTGGCTGAACTGCGAGTGCGTCTCCTGCCTTCAACTTCACCGACTGTAGATTTGTTCATGCCCTGTAAATAGCAAGTGTTTTAAAAACGATCAGGGATATTTATAGTAAAAAAAAAATAAAATTCAAGATACATCAAATGATTTTGCCTCACAGTGTTACAAGTCATGAATCGCAAGATACAATATTCTAATACACTCCATCTTTATTGCGGCTCAAATTGTAATTAATTGGAATTAACATTTGTTGATTCCTATATAACATCAATAGATAGCAATTTGTAATTGGCGCCTACGCAACGATTGGTTCCTCATGCCTCGCCGAGGGCGCTTATTTCCCTCTTTGCTGTCCCCACCCCGGCCAATCAACATCCCCCACTCCTGACGTCGTATAACGCTCACGTAGGCAGCAGGCGAAGTCGACGACAGAGAAGGCTAAAACGGAGGGAAATAACCGAGAGTGAGGGGTGGAGGGGGGAAGAGGCGAGGACCTTGACCAACGGGACCTCGGCGAAGATTTTTGGGACGTATGATAAGCCGATTCAATCGATGTGAAAAGTTTTTCCCTGTTTTTAGATAATCGCGCGAGCAATCGCAAGACGCACCTTTAAGATTGCCTCGCCCTCCTGAGCGGTCCTTTCGAGAGTGGAGAGCCTCTTGGTGCCGCTTCGTTTGTTTTTCGTCGGAGTCGGTTTCTCCTCCGTCGACTGTTCCTGCAAAATCAAGCTTCCTATGTATTCGCTCTCTCTCTCGTATTACGAATACATTCTATCGCAACATGTACAGTCATGCGCTCGCGCGCAGTGCTGCGCATGTGTACTTGTGCATATGTGTATGTATGCATGTATACATGATGTACATATTTCTTCGCGAGAAACGTATATATGTATGTACATACGCGTATCACGCTTACGCAGTCGCGCGCTCGTTGACGTCTTGAGATCGTCCGAGAGAGAAAGAGAAAGAGAGAGAGAGAGAAAATTGCGAGTTGCGAAGAAGACGCGGGGCGACGGGCGCACGGCACCACGCGACATGACATGATAATTACGACGTTCGACGTGATAAGATTATCGAGGACCGTTGAACCATCTTCGAGACTCTAACGTCGTGTTCAAGTTTCCCGCCATTTTGCTGTGCGCCCGCCTGTATGGTCTCCAACGCCCTTCTCGGGCCCTCTGCGTGTTTTTCCATTCCCCCCCCCTTTTTGGGGTGCCCCCGCCTGTATCGTCTCCAACGTCTCTACGCCTCGCTCGCGTGCGCGCGCGCGCGTGCGAGCGCAACTCCAGGCCGGTCGTCGACGGCGGTGGCGTCTCACGGACGTGGATGCGGCGTCGCTACCGATGACGGCCATCGCGTTGCCTAAGTTCCTGGCGCGACGCCGCGAGTTGCGACCGATTTCCCGCCTTTTCGCGCGGCGCCGAGATGTATGGCGTACGAGCGAACAGGAGCGAGCGAGCGAGAGCGAAAGAGAAAGAGAGAGAGAGAGAGAGAGAAGAGGGGGACAAAGAGAAGAGATTAGAGCGCGGAGCGAGCGATTCTCCCCCGGTCGCGAGAGTCGGCGCGATAAAAAAAAAACATCCACCATCTTTGCTGACGACGGGAGATAATATGCGTACGTACGCACGGCGCAGCTACGAAAAATTTCTCGCTGGATGGAAGGAAGAAAAGCAAGCAAGCAGGCAGGCAGGGTGGGAGGGCAGGAGACCGGGGGGTCTTGCG